AACTCTCTGATGCATAACAAGTGATAGCAAAGACCATGACCTGTATCAGATGCACCTTAGTCTCCAAAGAGACACCATTGAAAAATAAGAGGATATTTATTCTTATCTTTATATTCCCCCCACAAGATACATATTGGTTAGAGGCAGAGGACGTCTTTTGATAGGATTCTACCAAAATAACTTGCTAACAATGTCAATGTCATGGAAGAAAAATACTGAGGGAAGTGTTCTAGATTAAAAGAGACTAAAAAAGCATGACAATGAAATTCAATGAAGATCTTTTGCCATAAAGAGATAAAACTGAGACAATATTAAAAAAGCTAAATAAATTTGGGTTGAAAAGATGTAATAATTTTCATTCTTCTGTTATAAATTTTATTTAACTTTGCCATGATGTCAAATATAATGAACTTTTAAAATTCATTTTAATGAAAGTTTTCAGAGACTCTGAATTTCCATTCATTCATTGTTGCACACTTTCCTCCCTGCCCACCCCTACCCCCTCAGTTCACTTTTCTCTTTGAAAAGAAAAAATTCTTTCGTTATTATACAATCCCCCCAAGTCCACTCCACTATGCAGCTTTCATTCTGGACTCTTGTCATGACAATAATACCTAATCATATATCCCTTTTAAACAGTGAGTAGCTGGTACTTTTTAAAGGTAAAAATTAGTTATCTTGAAAACAGCACAGTACAAGAAGAACCGTGTATTACTGCTCTCTCTGTATTAAATCACTTGGTAGGAAAGTGGTAACAATCATTTTTTCCAAATCAATTATGCAAACAACTAATTATATAAACAAGTAAAAAGGAATGCATTAAAGGTTCATTCATACTAGCTTTGCAATCTGCCTTCCTATCTCACTGATGCCTTTTTATTTGATGAAATTAAAAATTTACATACATATTATTTCTGCTAAAAGAACTTTAATATTAAAATTATCCCATCAATTACTCTCAATAAATAATGCAAGCACCTGAACAAAGGTAAAAAAAATGATATGCATCATTGAGCCTGAAACTCATAGCAACCCTATGTACAACAGTCCTAAATCCTGTGCCAATTGTATTGTCTCTAACATAACTTCCCCCATTATCCCAGTCACTGAATCAATCCATCTCATCGAGGATCCTCCTCTCCTGCACTGTCCCTCTACCCTCCCAAACATGGTGTCCCTCTCCAAGGACTCATCCCTCCTTGCAACAGAATCCTTGCCAAGGATTGTATATATATCTAAATATTTTATATGTATGTATGTATGTATGTATGTTTGTGACTACACATGTGCATATATATCGTTGCTGAGTGCTGAGCTATAACTGGCCCATAGGTAACTCTCCAGTGGGTTTTCAGAGGGAGTTAATCACATGGGAGGAGACTGGCCATCTCCCTCCCACAAAGAAGGTGGTGGCTCTGAACTGAGTGCCTTTGTGATTGCATTTCAGTTTCTTGCCACTAGGGCACCAGAGCATGCTCTCTCTCTGTATGTATGAATGAGTGGGTGCGTATGTATGTATATATGTGTATATATATACACACACACACACGCACCTATATGTATATGTATATGTATATGTATATGTATATGTATATGTATATGTATACGCGTGTGTGTGTATGTTGTTAGGTGTTGTCAAGTAAGTTGACTATGATTCTCAGAGATTCTATGAACAACGAATCTTTATCTTGTCCTATTTTGTCCGAACCTCACCAGCCCTGATATATTCTTAAGTCTACCGCTACAGTTACCATGTTGATCCATGATGCTGAGAGTCTTCTCCCTCACTGACCTTCTTCTATCTTTCTAAGCATGGTATCTTTTCCAAAGGATTAGCCCTGGCTAACAACATATCCAAAGTAGGTGAGACAAAGCTTTACCATCCTCCCCTCTAAAGAGATCCTGATTGCACTTTCTCGAAGATATATTTATTTCTTGTGGAGGTCAATTTATATTCTGTAAACTTTCATTATGAGACTCTTGTATGAGATGTCATTGTGAAATGTTTTTTCCCCAGTCTGTAGGTCTTCTTCTTACCTTACTGGAAGAAGGGGACCTAATTTTTAGAAAGTCCCATATGTCGCTTTTGTCATCTCCTGGTTATAAATTTCTGACCATATTTGCAAGCCTATTTACGGTAGGCTATACTATGTTGGCTAGGCTTCTATGTTTGATCACATTTTTTGTCTCTTATGATCCTTATGGTTCTGGGCTTTACCCCTAGGTCTCTGATCCACCTTGAGCTGATTTTTATGTATGATATAAGATGTGGATCCTATCTCACTTTACTTCAGGTAGATGTTCCGTTTTGCCACTGCCATTTGTTGAAGAGATTGTTATTTATTCATTTAATAAGTTTTGAATCCTTGTCAAATACCAATTGACTGTAGAGATGGGTTAATTTCTGAGTTCTCAATTCTATTACATTGGTCTATGTGTCTGAGGAGCAATGATGTTAGTTTGAGGACTTAGGTATGCCTGATTCAGACCATGATCTTGTCAATCATTTGCTGTGCATCTGAGAGCTGAACAATAAGTAAGAATGACAGAAGAAATACTGATGCTTTTGAGCTGTGCTGTTGACACAAAATATTGAATATCCCATGGACTTTCCAAAAGAATGAACAGATACGTCTTGGAGAAGGTGAAACCAGATTGCTCCTTGGAAACAAGGGTGGTGAAGCTTCATCTCACTTAACTTGGGAACATTGCTTGTAAAGACTATACCTTAGTGAAGGACATCATGCCTAGAATGGTGGATGGATGGTGAGGGAAAAGACGACTCTCAACCAAGTGGATGGACACAGTAACTGCAGCAATGGACTTAAGTGTATCAAAGACTGTGAGGTTTGCATAGAAAAAGGCAGGGTTCACAGGGTGACTTACAGTTGTACTTGACTCAATGGCACCTAACAACAACAACAACAACACGTGTCTGTCACTGTACCAATACCATGCTGTTTTAGTTACTACAGCTGTGTTTAGAGATCAGAGAGTGTTACCCTCCCACTTCATTTTTCTTTTTCAGAATAGCTTTACTTATTCAGGGTCACCTTCTTTTCCAAATAAACCTGCCTATCTCGTTAAAAAAATGAGCTTGTATCTATATTGCGATTGCACTGAATATGTTGATTGATTCTGGTAGGACTGTCATTTTCACTATGTTGAGTCTTCTTATTCATGAACAGCAATTAATTTTTCCATTTAGTTAGGTCCTCTGTTCCTTAAAGTAGTGTTTTGTAGTTTTCTTTATAAAGGTCTTTTGTGTCTCTAATTAGGTTTATTGCCAAGTATTTCACTTTGTGGTTGGCTACTATAAATCGTATTGTTTTCTTAAGTTTCCTTTTCTGTGTTTTCTTTATTGCTAAAGGAAAATTCCAATGATTTTTGTATACTCATCTTGTATCCTGCAATTCTACTACTAAATTGGTCTAACAGGTCTAACAGTTTAGTTGAGTCTTTGGGGTTTTCTGTGTAGATCATCATTATTGTCTGCATATAGTGACAGTTTTATAATTTGTCTATCTGAATGTCTCTTATTTCTCTCTCACCTTATTGCCCTAGAAAGTACTTCCAACACAATGCTGAATAGGATTGGTGATAGTGGACACTCTTGTCTGGTCCCTATTCACAAAAGGAATGTCTTTCGTTTTTCTCCATTGAGATGCTCTTGGTTTTGCATATATATCTTTCATTATGGAGCTCTAGTGACCTAGTGGTAAAAATCTGCATTGCAGTCCCGAAGTCACAGAGTTCAAAAGCATCAGCTGCTCTGTGGAAGAAGGATGGGCAGTTTCCTTTCCTGTTAGTAACTGCCTCTGAAAACCCACCAGAAGGTCAGCTATAAGTCAGTTCTGACTTGATGGTACACAACAATAAACACATTGTGTTGGCGAAATTATCTTCTATTCTTATTTTGTTGAATCAGGAAGAGGGGTTGGATTTTGTAAAAGCCTTTTCTGCAGCAACTGATAGGATCATGTGATTGTTTTTCTACGCTTTGTTAATGTGATGAATTACATTAATTGTTTTTCTTATGTTGAACCATTCTTGCAAACCTGTTATGAATCCCACTTGGCCAGGATTTTTGCATCTATGCTGATGAGAGATAGTGGTTTATAGTTCTCTTATAGTTCATAGTTCTCTTCTTCGGTAATGTCTTTGCCTAGTTTTTGGTATTAAGATTATGCTTGCTTCACAGAGTAACTCGGGAGGTGTTCTTTATTTCTCTATTTTTAAAGAATTAAAGTAAAAGTGGTTACAGACTGCTCAGAGAAAAAGCACAGGAAAGTGACATGGTCCCAATAGTGCAATCCCGAAGTCTCCGTAGTTGCTTATGGACATGTACCCATCCCCTCTCCAGAGGGTGGTTGGGAGGGGAGCTATTCCTGACTAAGCAGATAAAGGCTCAGGAGAGCTCTAAATTCTCAACAGTGCAGCTTCCAATTCTGGCTACCTGCTAATGTTTGGAGCCTCGCACCTCCCAGGACTTGCTGTGAGGACAATTATTTCCACCCGAGCAGACAAAGACTCAGGGAAGCAGCAATTTCTCAACACTAGAGCTCCCAATTCTGGCTACCGCTAATGTACAAGTGTACCTGCATCTCCTCTCCAGAAGCAGCTGATTATGAGAGCAGCTATTCCTGCGTTACCAGACAGACAAAAACACAGCAACTTCTCAGCAACACAATTCTCAATTCTTAACTAATGTTTATAGACTACCTGACTACTATTTCTTGGGAACTCTCGTGTTACTCATTTGCCACCTGATTTCTCCCCATTATAATACAAATGTTCTTTCTACTGATGAAAGTGAAACTATTCCTCTTCAAGTTATCATTTACTCACAGTAGATGATGTGACTGTCCGATTCAAAATAACTATTCCCCAGGCACCTTGAAATATCTATTCCTCAAATGTATTCACAGAAATATTGTACGCTATTCAGACTTTCAATCTGAGAATTACTTTTTATAACACAGAAAAAGACAATAACTTACCAAATCAGTTTCTTTTTTCCTTCTTTTTTTCCGTTCTGTTTTTGGTACCTGACGGGGTAGAAAGGAAATGTAAAAGACTAACCTTTTCTTATTTCTTAGAAAATGCTGAGATTTTTACTCAATAAATAAGAGACGTCGCAATTTCCTATTCATAAAGATCAACTTTGCAATGTTGCTCAAACATCATAATTTTTAAATTTGATAAAATTTGATGCTAATAAAATTCGGTAATAGAAGGTTACTTTATGCATTACTTTTTTCCAAGCCAAAATATGTCTAGGAGCCATATTAAATCAATTCCTTTATTTTAAACATTGATTTAAATTTTATTATTTAAATTTTTTTTTTGCATTTTCCACATTTAGGTAATAGAGAAAAGTTTGTCCCAGAGCTAAATACACAAAGGTATTATTTAGAATATGTGACAGCTGTTTTACATATGACATTTTACAGTACAGAATAACCTAAACCTTAACTTTTAATATGATAAACATTCAAAGGCAGTATAAGCCTTCTAGAAATCTTTTACATAAAAATCCTATCCTAAACCCACAACAGAACTTTAAAGGATTTAATTATATTTTACTAATTGAAAAATTATTTAAGATGGTTTGCAAATCTAAATATATGTAAACTAGGAAACTAAAAATAGATCATAACCAATGAGAAAGATTAATTATTCTTGAAATTATAAATAACTAATTATTTCAGTTATAAAACCAGGGTGTTCTTCAGAGTCTAAAATTGTGAAACTCTGCCTCCCATACTTCTAGCACTTTGTCAAAAGAGGCTGCTGCAATCCTATGATCAGCCAACCTGAACCCTGTCCTATCTTCAGCCATATCCTCATCATCTCTCACACACTAGAGCCCATTGCTGAAACCATCGTGCCAATATAATGAAAATTGAGGACCTCCTTCTTTGCTGACCGTCTATCTTTCCAAACACGATGGCCCTCTTCAAAGAACAGCTTCACTAGTCCCTGAAAAAAGACACTATGCTGAGAAAGGTGGAGGCTTAGAGAGAGAGAAGAAACTCAACAAGATGGACTGAACTAGGAGCTCCTGTTCACTGTAATGTTTTCCTCAAAATACAGATATCCCAAGCAGACTCTTAAAAATCACTCATAATTAAATTCTTTCAGAAATCAAAGTTTATCACATTTACCTTTGTTGGTATGCACTCTGAAGATTTGAATTCATTCATATATTCATCTAAAAACACTTTAAAAGTGTTGACCCAAACTTTGACTGGAGATTCCCTCCAATCCCGCTGCTCAAGCCTCATCGTCTTTTCCAAAATCTGTTCAAATAATGCATAGAGGTCTTTATATCGTATGCTTTTCCCATCATCCATCTAAAAAAACAGTAAGACAAGAAATACAAAGGTTTATGAAGAAATTCTTTAAGTATGAAAGACACCCAAGCGTTGAGAACTCTCCTTCATAGGGTCGCTATGAGCCGCCTGTGACTTAACGGCACTTAACAACAATAACAACATAGAGAGAGATCAGCTGGCCCAGTGAACAGAAAGCGATGCTACCAAGCCAAAGTGGGTGACTTTTAATCCACTTTCATTGTTTTTGTTCAGACATTCCTCTAGGTCATATAGCCCTGGTGTACAAGTTGCTTTACAGCGGTAACTTGTGGTTGCTGTGAGGCTGAACACTGTGACACTGATGTACCAAATGGGTTGTTAATGGTTGGTTACCCAATGAGTATAGAGTGGGGTGGAGCTCCCCAATTAAAACAAGCTTGGAAGCAGGAGTGGCATCCACTTCCATAACAGCTTGTCTCCGGAAACCCTATGAACCTGGAGAGAGTATGAAAGACACCCAAGCATTGAGGACTCTCCTTCATAGGGTCGCTATGAGTCACCTGCGACTCGATGGCACTTAACAACAACAATATCTTGATAGATTTTCTTTAGAGCATATATATAATTTCTAATACCAGAAGTAGTACATGTGGTACTCCCACTCTTTGTGGAATGAATACAAGATAATTTTTTTTGGGGGGGGGCCTCTGGTGGCCTAGTGGCAAGAAGCTGAGCTGCAATCCTGAAGGCGTGCAGTTCAAATCACCAGATGCTTTGCAGGAGGAGAGGCAATCTCTCTGTGCCAGTCAGATCAGATTTGAAGGTACACAAGAAAAGGGGGGGAGGTTAACCCCCCCCAAAAAAAACTCTGGTAAGTTTTAGTAAAGCCCTAAATAAAGTAATGATTTGAGTAAAATGTTGGCATTTTTTTCCTATGGGTTTAGGCTTTAACCTATTATTGAACTATAAAGGTTATTAAAATTTCTTTTAATTATATTTCCCCGGAAAGAAATAATTTTAGGTAATCCCACTCTAAAACTGGAAGAGTAATTACCTTGTAATTACTTAAGGTTAATCATCTTTATTTTCCTTTCCTTTTTTCACTAAGTAGGAGTGATCAAATAGTAGAAATTTTAACACCAAAAATATCTATACTTAACCCAACCAATATAATCTGAAAAGATAAATCTGCACATGACAGTTGATGTACAGAAATAAGTGAAAATAAACTAGCCTAAGTCCACTAAAAGATTATACACATGAATAAGACACTATAACTTTGCAGTGGTGCTAACAGGATTATGAGAAGTCAAAATGATAATAAGCCAATGAGTGAAGTAAAATCCACCAACGATATCTGACTACAATGTAAGTACGGTGTAAATGTACGGTGTAAATGGAGGTGAGGGGAAACACTCAAGGAAATTTGAGCTAAAACAATTAGGAGATACCAAAATAGTAGTGAGTCAATGCATAAAATAAAATGGTACCTCAAATAGTTGAATACATGAACTCATAATGATAAAAACGTAACAAGGTGGGAGGGAAATGAAAACCAACTACTCAAAGAAATTCAAGGAAGCCACTCATCTGAGGTAATTAAGTTTACCTTCCCCAATCTATTCCTAAAACAAAATCGGAGTTGGAGGAATCTCAGAATAATACTGAATTCCATGTTGTTTCATACATTATTGCAAAACTTTTCATATGAAAAGTATCTCTTAACATAGTCAAACTTACCGCCAATGCTGATGAATAAAAGCTGAAGATATTTTGTCGAAATTCTTTTAAGGCTTTTTTAAATACAACATCCACCAGTGTATCTTTCTTGCTATCTTCATTATCTAAGTCATTCATCTGGAGATTACAGAAAGAGTTTCTGTATATAATCAACTAATTAAAGAGGTGAATACAACAGGAGAATGTCTAAAATGGAAGCCATTTGCTACTATTGGACCCAGGCAAAAACAGGAACAGATAGTCATATTTTTATTACTACGATTAAAATAATTTATAAGATCCCTTTTAACACTAACATTTAATGATTTCTACAGTTGTAATAACAGAAAAACAAGTCCAATTATGCATTAATAAGCCTCAACTTCACACAGGCACTACAGCTTCAGAGTTAAAATAAAATGGAAGACAGTCACTTTGATTTTTGCATACCCTTTTAGATTTTTCCAGTAAAGGACAGACCATCTAATTTACTAAAGCTTATGTAGCTAATCTCTGTAACATCTATTTCTATATGAGCATATATGCAAGCACCCCATAGTCAAAGCTCTTGAAAGAAGAAAACTCATAAAGTAAAGGATACCTTTTTCAGAAGAAATTCATCCATGCTTTTCAAATCACTGGCACTTGTTATGATCTGGACAGAGTCATTTTGCCAGTGCATTGACTCCAAAGCCACACTGCTGATCTTCACACTTCGCTTGCGCTTTGTTTTTGGAGATGGTTCTTTGTTCTCTTTGAATTCCTTTCGGCAGCTACCAGGAAGTTCTGGGCTCAAAGGAGGTGTTGGGTGGTCTACAATTCAAATACAGTACCCAAGAAGACCTAGTCAGTGCATATACTGATAATATACCCTTCTTTCTTTGAAGGTTTATCTCTCTTTTTAAAGGCACTGAACAAAGCATACACAAATATCAGAAAAGCACAATGTCGGGCTGAATGACATTAAATCCAGACTGCAAACTTAGAAAATGCATTTAAGTATTACCAGTTGTCACTACAACCCTACAATTTAGATGAAAATGCCTTTAGAACTTCAACTTGCCTTCCAAAGTCCTCAGTCTCTTAAAAAGAATGGTAATGCTTAAATGTTAAAGCGGTCAAGTTTTACTATGGCTATTTGAAAGAACATCCAAATACAAACAAGTACATCAAAACAGTGAGGTCTGATAATTATTATTTTTATTTCTTCAGTTAGGTAATAACTACTGCTTAAGTCTCTTATATAACCCTCAAAAATTGGTCTGGATCACAGCATTTCTAAAATGAGCTGGTGTTATATCAAATATTAAGAATGAGAAGCATACCAATTTTTCTCTGTACTTGTTTCCACTGAAGAGGTTTAATTTCATGCAGTTCATGACAACCTAGAACTAGAATGGCCTATCAAGGCCTATCTGGGACTAGAATGCTGACCTCTTGTTGTTTTCCATTTTTGTTTGTCTCCCCATGTATGTTCTTGACATCGTTCAAGTGGTATATCCTAGAACCAACTAAAATTCAAAAAGTTTCTGTCTGCTAAATGCTAGTGGAGGCTGGAAAGTAGACAGTCTCAATACTGAAGAGATAGGGTACCACAATGAAGAAGATGGACACCAACTTACTTTAATTCTATTTCATAATCTAAATATTTAAGTATGTCATTTACTAAAGTTAGTATTTCACTTACTATAGTCTATTATTTCATTTACTAAAATCTTTTCAATAAAGAGAAATAACGATTTCTTAAAAAGCTGACTACAATCTTGTTTTAGCATTGAAATAAGGATTTTCTTAATACACGTTTTCTCAAATAGAAATCAAAATCATATACATACCCTTAAGAAACAAACACACAATAAAAGCTGTATGCAATAAATGCTTTAACTAAAGATCCTTAAGGTTCTTCTTTAGTTATCTGATTGGGAATTGGCAATAGAAAATGAAAAATTTATAATTATTACTGTCTACATATAAAATACAAGAAAGTGATTGCCTTATACTGTAACAGTGGCTCTGATATGCAATTCTAGTGAGTTATGCTAATCCAGGCCTTAGGTATCTGGCCATTCAAATTCATGAATGTCTTCATGGGAGGAAGATAGGTAGTCTCCTCCAATTAAGATTTACAGCCTCAGAAATTTGATGGAGGATCTCCATATGTCAGAATTGAGTTAACAGTAGAAGGAAATCAAGAAAGCAATATCATTTACAATAGCCAGCCACAAATTGAGATACTTGGGATTGAACCTAACTAGAGACACAAAAGACCTATACAAAGAAAACTAGAGAGCATTTCTGAAAGACACAATAAAAGACCTGAAGAAATGGAAAAATGTGCCCTGTTCATGGATGGGAAGACTCAATATGGTGAAAATGGCAATCCTACCAAAAGCAATCTATGTGTTCAATGCTATCCCAATACAAATACCAAATTCATTTTTCAAGGAGATTGAAAGGGAACATTATCAAATTCATTTGGAGAGGCAAGAGACCTGAATAAGCAAAACACTTTTAACTAACAAAAGTAAGGTTGGAGGCATAGCACTCCTTGACCTCAAAACCTACTACACAGCAGTCATAACCAAAACAGCATGGTACTAGTAAAATGACAGGCACAAAGAATAATGGAACAGAATTGAGAACCCAGAAATAGACCCAGCTATCTAGAATCTACTGATATTCAACTAAGAAATCAAAGCTATCCAATGTGGAAATGATAACCTCTTCAACAAATGGTGCTGGCAAAACTGAACTTGCATCCGCAGAAAGCTAAAATAGGATTCACATCTCACATCATACACAAAAAGCAAATCACAGTGGATCAGAGACCTGGGAGTAAAGCCCAAAACCATTACGTTCATAAAAGACAAACTGGGATCTAGCTTAGGAGTGCTAGTCCAAGAAAGACTGCCAAATACAACCAGAAATGTACAATCGAAAGAGGATAAAATTGATGCATGGGACCTTCTAAAGATTAAATCTATGTGTGCATATATATGGGTGGGGTGGTGAGGGAAATTAAAGAATTTGTTCTTGAAAACTATGTATTCAAATTTTATAAATAAACTAGTAGAAAATTTAAAAAAAGAACTGTGTCAATAATGAATTAGTTTTTTAATTTTAGAACCATATGGTGAGAAGTTTCAACTTTTCCAAAGAGATTGTGAATTACTCATTTACTTTATTAATGGTCTTATACATATCAAATTGTCCACTGATAATCATAAAAGCACATGATACAAAACTCAGGAGTCTAATTAATGACATCTATTTCATTCCTCCTCTGATGCACAGAAACAAGACATGCCTCTGCTCTAAGTTACTGATTACTATGTATAGCTTCATAATATTTTTTTTCTTGTTCCATACCTTACTGCAGATATAAGCAGTTAATTTATTTACTGTAACTGGGCCTTCTCTATGCTTCTTTAAGAGGTAACTGTTTTATTCCTAAGATCTCTTTCCATTTAGTCAAGCTTGATATTTCACTCACTAATCACCATATAATGTCCTCTGATACATATTCCTTGTTGAAGACAGGTAGATTCTGGTTTTAGGGTTTTTTTTAATAAGCTTATGTCTGTGTCTGTTTTATCATGTATTAAGTGGGAATAATTATCATCTACCACCACTATGGTTCTTTTGAGCCAACTCTGACTCACAGTAATACCATGCATGTTTATATCAGAACTGTGTTCCATAGGGCTTTTCAATGGCTAAAGTAGAGTCTGGTCTTTTATTCCATGTTGCCTCTGGTCAACAAAAATCTCCAAACTTTTTCTTAACAATAATGAACATTAACTCTAACACCCACTGACTCCAATAATCCTAACAACATCTAAAAGACTGTCGGAAGAATCAGTTGAGTCAATTTAATATGCTTAGTGCATTAGTAAAAGCATGAATGTAACTACTATTTTTATTAGTGATTATTAATAACACTTATAATGAATGATGGCTTAAATTTGAGATTAAGCAACTGAAGTTAACCCAAGATTCACAACTGCGCTTGACATTTTTATTGCTTTGCTATTTTGTGTCACATTTCCTAGTAATTTGACTATAGGTATAACAACATTATGACACAATTTTTAGTTAGTAGTTAAGAAATACAGCCAACAAGACTGTCACTAGACAAATTAGGTAAACAGAAAACTTTTAGAAATAGGAATTAGAAAAAACATTTCCACCCTTTACCCATTTTTACCATCTGAAAACTGACGACTTGGAAGTGTATCTGAGCTTGCCAGTGATGAAACTTCTGAATGAAAGACAGGCTTTGCTCTGGTAGTCTTTTTCTCCCCATGTTTCCCTTTGGCCCAGAATCTCATCTTAGCTCTGTGAGGTCTGTTCAAAAAGTAAAAGTAAAAATGGAAATCTGCATGTTTTAAGGAATACATACACACACACACATACATACATACATATAAAACTTACAGGTCACTCAATCTTCACATTCCAACTCAATCATAAGCCATATTTAATGTTATATTTAAATTTCACCTAGAAGGTAGATAATTTTATCTCAGATATGGGAATATTAAAAGCCAGAAATATTAAATAGTATTTTTAAAATATAGCCATTAGAAAGCAGCAGAACTGAGATTCCAACTCAGATTTTTTTTGGTTCGTTCTCCGCTTGATTTTAGTATACAGACAGTTTAACCAAGAAACTAGCTTAAAAAATTATTAATAATTTCAAAATTCTAAAAAAATTAATTTGAAAAATACTGTAATCACAGTAATCCTCATTATTATAACAGAAATAAATTAACAACCATCACCACTAATTGAGCAAGCTTGCTTCAGACATTGTTAAATGCTCCTCTACAGGATTACATAATCTTAACAACTGTAACAAATGTCCAGGGGTGTATTATAGGTAAAGAACCACAGGTAGTTTTCCCAAGGTTATATATTCAGTGAGTGACAGAGATGAGAATCACAATTACTAGATTGTATGTCCTTATTCTTAGTGCTTAGAAACTCCCACTGTATAAATCAACAAAGCATCTTGAGATTGTAAGAACAGCTCACATTTACTGAACAGACAAAATAAATTCTAAACTCTTATATCACGAGTTCTCAAGTGGTATACATGGTTAAGAGCTGGACTACTAATCATAAAAGTTAGGGATTGGAAATCGCTCAGAGGTGCTGCAGAAGACAAGCCTGGCAATTGGCTTCCAAAAGTCACATCCCTAAAAGCTCTATGGAGCAGTTGTACTTTTCATACACAAACTCATCATGAGTTGGAACTGACACCATGTCAACTAACAACAACCACTTTCTTAATCTAGGAGGCTTATCTGTATATTGTTTATTTTTAGGTGCATTCAGTCAAATAATTAGGTAAACATAATTAGACGTTAGGAATTATGTCTTATATACAATATTCCTAATTTTCACAACTATCATGAAATTAAATTACTCGTATTTTACTCATGAGCAAACTGAGGTTCAGAAGGTTTCTAGAGATTGAAATTAAAATATATCAGATCATAAATCCTACAATCTTGTTTATGTTTTAAAAAAAGTTTATTATATACCTTACACATACACAAAAAGAAAACTTGTTCTTACAAGCCTTATTTAAAAAAACAACATCCTTTTGATCCTCATCCATTTTTTGCTCCATGGCAAGAAATCTTGTGGGATACTTCAACTGACTCATTTGATATTTAACCCATTTACACAAGGGAGCTTTGGTGGCCTAGTTAGTAAGAAGCTGCACTGCAATCCCTAAGGCACGTGGTTTCAATACACCAGCTACTCCCCTAAGCAGCCATTAGTTCCCTGCTAGCAGCAACAGGGCATATACCATCCGTGTTGCAAGTCATACTGCAATGCAGGAACTGAAAGCCTACCACCTTGACTCTTAGGGACTTTGGCCATAGCCAAACAGCTGGGGTAGCCAGGAATGACTAAGAGATATAGCCTAAAAGTTACACACCATCTCTATCTAAGCCTGAGCCCTTCTATATTTTAATTTCCTTCTCTATTTCCTCTTACTCCAAGCAGGCCATTCTACTATGATCCTTTTTAGAGTGATCAGCTGCGGTAGCAGGGAACCATCTAGTTCCTCTCAGCTCATGTCCTTAGAAGTCGATGCTCTTGTGGTCCATTAGTTCACAAGACTAATTGTTTCAGTGCTTTTTCTTCTCTCTGCTTTGGTCTGAACAATGAGAGACCAATAGCCATACTTTAGGTGGCTCCTTGAAAGCTTTTAATCCTAGTCACTATTTACAAAAGAACGCGCAACATTGCCTTTGTTGACTGCGTAATGCCAAATCACTGATGTTTCTTCAAGACTACTGTACAAAGGCTCAAGACCCAAGAATTCAATGTATTTGATTATGACTAAGACACCAACAAAACACTGTCCAGGTTGGATCTGGTATCTAAATAGATATATTTATAACATATGTTAATATAAATGTTAAAATAGCCAAACTTATGTCCGGTCTTGGGTGTAGTCCTTTCTACCTATCCACATCTATCTTGCCTGTCTGTCAATATATTTGCTATTGAGTTTATTTCTTGTGTAGCTCTATTTTTTCTTGTTACCACAGGATTGTGCTGATCATCCCCTTATTGTATAGTGCCGTTCTCTGTATACATTTTCTTTTTTTGTCTCTGCACTCATTTTACTATGTCATATAAATTGGTGGTATTAAGTGTCACTGAATCGACTATGACTTATGAACAACAGACAGAAGCCTTTTCCTATCCTCCACCACACTCACAATCATTGCTCAAATACACAGTTGCAGTCACTGTATCAATCCAACTCACTGATGATCTTCTCCTTAACTGATCCAGGTATCTTCCTCACATAATGTCTTCGGTCTAACTAACTCCTGGTACTTCTTGACAACATGCTCAAAGACTGAGAGACAAAGTTTCACCATCCTTGCCTCTAATGATGAACATGGGTGCATTTCCTATAAGATTTGTAGTTTTTGGTAGTCTGAAGTATATTCAATACTCTCTACAAATACTATAGATCAAAGGCATAAGTTCTTTTTTGGTTTTTCTTCACTGTCCAACTCTCAAATCCAAATTAAGCAATGGAAAATACCATTACTTGTGTTAGGCACATCTTGGTCTTTAAACTGACATCCTTCCTCATTAGTACTTTAAATACATCTTTGAAAGCAGATTTCCTCAATGCAATACTTTTATGTATTTCTTGATTGCTGATGCCATGGGTGTTGAATGTGGACCCAAGCAAAATGAAATTGCTGACAACTTCAATCTTTTCATCATCTATCATAATGTTGCCTTTTGGTTCCGAGGTGAGGATTCTTGTGAAATATAATCTATATTCTTGATGTCGGGATATCATCTATATCAAAGGATGTAGTCTTTGAACTTCTGCAGTAAGTGCTCCAAGTCTTCACTTTCTGCAAGATTGTGGCATCTTCATAAAGCAGGTTGTTGATGAGACTTCTTCCAATTCTGATGCCACATTCTTCTTTGCATAGTCTAGCCTTTTGAATGATTCACTTATACTACAGATTGAAAAGGTGTAAGGGACACGACTCTGACACACATCTGATTTTAAATCATGCACACTGTATATCCTTGCTCATTTGAATGACTACTTCTTAGTTCACACAAGCAAAATTAAACATTTGGAATTTCCATTCTTCTCAATATTATCCATACTTCATACAACCTAATGTCTCTAAAAAATAAAGCAAGCACAATTATGTTTCTTTCTGATATTCTCTGCTTTCAGTCAACATCCATATGGCATCAACATTTCACAGCCTCTTCTAAACCGAACTTGAATTTCTGGCAGTTCCAGATCTCATTAGAAATCATCAGAAAGATTTTAATTGCATGTAATAGTAATGATACTATTTGTTAATTTCCACATTTTTGATCACCTTTTCATTGTTGTTGTTATGTGTCATCAAGTAGCTTTTTATTAGAATGGGGAAAATTATATTTCAGTCCATTAGCAAGTATCTGTCCTTCAAATTAATAATGTTATTCTTTTCTCTTTTCCTTTCACATTTCTGGTATGATTAAAAAAAAAAAGATTTAATCTATGTTTAAATCTTTCCACAGTTTTTAAATAACAGTGGTCTTGGACTCATCCATGTTACATAGTATTTGGCAAAATCTTTACTGTTCTTTACTACAGCACAGTACTAAATTATGGGAGTTTATCATAGTTTATTTATCCTTTTGTTCTGTGACAGACATTTGTTTTTGTCTCTTTGCTCTTGTAAATAATGCTGCAATGATCATAGGTTTGCATAAATCTGTTCTGTCACAGCTCTTATTTCTTTAGAATAGATAACCAATAGGGAGACTGATGACTGGATGAACTGATATTTTAATAATGTTGTTGTTATGTGCCGTCGAGTCGTTTACAACTCATAGTGACCCTATGTACAACAGCCCTAAACCCTGCTCTATCCTGTGCCAATCGCACTGCCTCTGACACACCCATCCCAATTATCCCAGTTACTGAATCAATCCACCTCACAGAGGGCCTTCCTCTCCTGCGCCGACCCTCCACCCTCTCAAGCATGATGTCCCTCTCCAAGGATCTGTCCCTCCTTGCAACATGCCCAAAGTAATTTTAGCTTTTAAAAATTCAGCCAACTGCCTTCTTTAATGGTGGCACCATGTTATCATCTTACTTACATCTATTAAAATGATAAAATGGTGCAATCACTATGAAAAGTGGTTGGCTCCTTCATTAAAAAGTTTTAACTAGAAATACCTTTACTGAAAAAATAGATTACTAGGAATCTTACTAGCAGTGTAGAAGCTCTGGTGGCTTAGTGGTAAGGAACTGTGCTGCAAATCTCAAGGTACATGCTTCAAACCCACCAGCGGCTCTGCTGGACAAGATGGACAATCTCCTCCTGTGTGATTAACACCTCCAAAAAATCCACTGAAGGGTCAGCTCCAACTTTACAGTGCACAACAACAAGCAGCAGCAGTGTTTCAGAATGCCAATCTCTCCATATGCTTGCCAGCATTTACTGTCTAATTGTCTTACTGAATTTTGCTGTTTGCTAACAGGGTAAGATGGGATCTCACTGCTGTTTTGATTTGCATCTCTCTAAAACCCAACAATCTGGAGCACTTTTTCATGTGTCGCTTGCTCATCTGAGTGTCAAATTTGGTGAAGTATCTATTTATGCTATCTACTCATTTTGCAATTAGTTGTCTCTGTCTTGACAGGCTACTGGGGTTTTCTACAAATTTAAATTAGTCGTCTCTTGCAATTATGTCATTGGTAAATATTTTTTTCCTAGTCTGTAGGTTCTCTTTCAGAGAATTTTCGTAATAATAATACACATAATAAGGATAACATTTCAGAAGATCCTAATTGCCCAGTTTTTCCTCTTCTGACTATGCATTTTCTGTTATATTTGATAATCTATTTATGTCATATATTAATTAGAGTTCATAAATTTTCCCTATTTTTCATTGATACTCTGAACAGTTTGATGTTTCACACTTAGATCTCACTTAAGTTAGCTGAGGTATAAATATTTCCATTTTCTACAGACACTCACTTTTGTCCAATTCTCTAAGAGATGTTCTCAACTTCCTTTCTAATGCCATTATGGATTGAATGTATTCCCTACTCCCAAACTATGTTGTAATAAATCATAAACCTCTATTCTTGGGTATATAATCCCATTTGACAAATTTTCCTTGTTAGGTTGATATAGGATCAGTGTAGAGTATATTTTGACACAATATTTTTTGACATATGATAATTTAAACAAGAAAGCAAGAAGCAGAGAGAAGAATGAGTGAAGACTTCTAAGGGAGCATCATAGATGCAATTATATCCTTATTCAAAGGTTTACTGATATTAATAATTGTGTTTGATTAAAATTTCTATCCTCTTCAAAGCTTTTTTCCTTCCAACTTGCATTTTATCTGTTGGTTATGTTTTCTTTCCTATAAAATGGTTTTTAAAATGTAGGATCACTGATATTTGATTATAATTTTAAAAGCATGTTTTAAAAAGCTGCTTTGAAATTCCAGCAGTCTTTGGTGGCTTCAAAACTAATCTTTCCTGCGTGGTTATCTGGATAGAACATTTTGTAGAAAGAGGCCCTAACAGCAACATCATTATGTCTTTTCTGATAGTTAGACAAAATTCTCAAAGATTCTTTTAACTATCCACTTATAGAGAACAGAAAATATAAGCGGTAAGTGGAGGGAAAAAAACTGTGAAATCTAAACACTGAATATGCAAATGCTTATTGAATCCTTTTATTTCAAATCTGTATTCCAACCTTCAACTGTATGTGGTAACCTATAAGTCCAGAAACCTGTTTTGCTTTCTCCAGAGAATAAACTTGTTTTCTGCTAGTATAGGAGACAAGCAGTCAGCTAATGCAGCATTTCTTTATCTAAAACTTGGCTTTCTGCTATTTATTATCATCTGGATTTGTCAATTAATCTATTTAAAAACAGGAAATATTTTGGATTGCTTCAGTGCTAGTATCTTTTATAACAAAAGATCACAAACATAAAATGACTTAGAGATGCCCCCAAAATTACAACGCTAACCACAAAGAAATTTAAAGTTCACCTTACATATACAAATTTGAAAAATCAGAATGTGTCTGACACTTGGTAGATACTTAAGAAAAAATGTTGTTGTATTGTTATAAACTGTCAAGTCAGAACCAACTCACAGCTGACACATTAGTGGGTTTTCAGAGGCAATAAACTGCACAGATGTGACTGCCCATTTTTTTTCCACAGAGTAGCTGAGTATCTCGAACCGAGTACCTTTGGGTTGACAGCACAGCTCACTGAATTTCATTTTCAAAAAACAGTTTCTCTACCAATTATGTGTTTTTATTTTTTTAAATGGCTATGAATCTGAAGTCTAGTCAATCAGTAAATAAAATATATTCTAAAAAAATGTTATTCCCTATTAAATAATCTCAGTGTATATTTTATACCTTATATCTGAATCTGAAGGCTTCTGTTCCATTGACAACTTCGTAATCTCTCCTTGAGACATAGTTTTATGAAGTTTTGCTTGTTCATCAACTGAAGAAAATCGCTGTGACGTCTGTAATAATCACATACATGAAAGACTGTAAAGACCAAGTAACTATATAATATTATATATTAACTAAAACTGAGGTTACAGAATTTCTTGAGAACTATAGTTGTTAAAATAGGAACAAAAGTACATCCATATTATTCAGAAATTCATCAAAAAAACAGAATCTACTGAAAATTCTACTAACCTTTATAGTAATCTGAAATAAGGTAAGACTTAGATAATAAAGATGATTAATAAGCTCATATTTTATAAAAATTTAATACAGATTCAGACATAAAATGCTAACAAAAAGTCAAAACTATCTAAAGATACAGATAAAATATTAAAAACTTCCATACATCTAAAGTCCTAAATGATGTCTTTCATACTTCCTTTTTATTCTATTGTCTTTCATATTTCCTTTCACATGTTCCCAAAAGGATCCACAATTAATGCTGTGGAAACAATTAAGAAATCAAATGATGTATTGCATTGGGCAAATCTACTAAAAAAAGACATCTTTAAAGCATTAAAAAGGAAAGGTGTCACTTGGTGGAATGAGTTACACCTGACCCAAGTCATGGTTCCTGTTTTGTCTGTTTTTTTAGAAAAATAAAAAAGACTAAGAAGAACTGATGCCTCTGAATTATGGTGTTCGAGAATAATACTGAAGATATATTATGGACTGAAGAAGAACTGATTATTACTGCAGAAAAAGTTCAGCCAGAGATTTATGGATATAAATATTATGGTTCTATCTTGTAATGTGAGACATGATAGCACAGTGGTTAAGAGTTTGGCTGTAAACTGGAAAGGTTCACAATTTGAACCTACTAGAAGTCAGTTTCAAAGGCATGAAGACCTAGTAATCAGCTTCTGTAAAGATTACAGCCTGAAAAACACTATGAGACAGACCTACTCTGTAACACAAGGTCACTCTCAATAAAATTCAGCTTCACTGTGCCTAATAAGAATGTTAAAAGATATTTATCAAATATTTAAAAGATTTAACCCACATATTATTAAGCCTCTAAAGCCATGAACATTTTATATCACATAGGGTTATAATCAACAAAATCCAGAAAAGTGAGGAATACTACAGAAAAACTAAAACAAAAAACTAAAAATATTTTTAAAAAATAATAAAACAGAGTATGATAAAATTATAGATTAAGAGTCTAAAAACTGAATCCTAGGAAACTGAGGATAATGGAAGTTGCCTGAATATAAATTATCAAGACATTCTACAAAAAGAATAAAAATTCAAAGAAATATTGAACTATACAAAAACTATATTTTCAGTACAATTAGAAAAAAAAGAGAACATCCTTCAAATTTCCTTAATCCAGAAGTTGAAACAATCTCAACAAGCTCTCTCACAATCCCACTGCACTGATTCTGGATTTAAAAAAAGGGAAGAAAAGAACTCTGCAGGTTGAGAGGTAAAGAGGGGAAAAGCATAAGAGGAAGATTTAGAAACAAACACTATACAACATACAATTACTAGCTCTGCTACTTACACCACAACAATGAAATTTTCTACCCTTCCTCCAATGAAAAAAAAACAAAACCAACTGTCCATTAAAGATTCTGTACTCTGCTACACTAATACAAGAGGAAGCTCTTTTACTCATTATATTGCAAACTTCTCAATGCAATAAAAAAAATAAGTACATGAAAACAGAAAAACACAGAGCAAACAGGAATTAGAAAACTGAAATAAAAACAGGAACACCTGTTAATTAGTTCCCATATGCACTTTTTAAAAAAAAGCAAAAGCAAGCTGTAAGGGAGTGATCAAAATATATTAATTATTCTCAAACACGAAAAACTATCTTAAATCTAAAATACAATATTTAAAACCATATAGATGTAAAATTAAAATAAAAACAAAATAAGAAGACATAAGAGTTGAATGAACACAAGACAGAAATGAAAGACAAGTTTACTCTGAAATAAAAACTAAATTATAAGACGTATAAGAGTGAAAAAGTAGACAGAAATTTAATAAAAATGGGGAAAAGGCGAGAAAAGAATACAGCATACGAAACTGATATAAAAATAAAATTTAAGAGTTAGAAAAAAAGTTGGTTGAATTATATGATAGATGGAAAAGAAAAATTTATAATTGGAGTTCCTAAATAAGAAAAAGAAAACAATGAAACACAACTAATATCTAAATGATAAAAGTAGAATTTACATACTAAGAGTACTAGGTACTGAGATAATTAATCCGAAATGATCACTTTGAAAATACTGCTTTTGGGAGTTTCTGTTAATAAAGATACTGAAAAATTTAAGAATAGATATTGGTACTGGAAATGGATGCACAAAAGATAAATATAATCAAAGCCACAGAATTTATATATAAATTGTGCTGAAGTGTCAAGTGTTCTGTTTTACAGACAAGCAGTTCTTTCTCTATGAATCAGCTGTCTTTAAGACCACTTTGTAGTTCCGTCCAAATAGATAATCAACTCAAGGGTGGTGGGTGAGTCAGTGCCAAGAACAGGTTGAAAGCTTTTTCAATTATTTAAAAGATGTCATGCAGCAATCTAAGGTCATTGTGAGTCAAAACTTTGTTGTGAGTGAGATTTGATTCAATTATTTCATCTTGAGGGTAAATTCACATAGCATTAAAGCAACCAGGGTTCTACATAGAGGCATGGATGGTGAAAATTTGTCTCTCATACTCTGGGCATGTTGACAGTTGGGGTCAATCCTTAGAAACAGACATCACGACAAGAAAGGTAGAGAGTCAGGGAAATAAAGGGAAACCCTCAAACAATGGATTGGCACAGTCTACAATGGGCTTTAAGAATGGTGGAGATCTTGAGGATGGTACAGGATGGAGCAAAGTTTCAATCTGTTAGTATGGTCACTATGTGTTGTGGTACCTAACAACAAAAAGGGTAAACTGGAGTTACTTATAAGTTGGAGGTTCATAACCTAGACTTCTTGTAAACAGATACACACATACCTGTGTGTAAGTATTGTTGTTGCATGCCACTGAGTTGATTTATGACTCATACTGACCCTATAAGGACAGAGCAGACCATCTTACAGGATTTTCTAGGCTGTACTAATTTGGGGAGCAGCTCTCTAAAGTCTTATCTCCTATAGAGTTGCTGCTGGTAGTTTCAAATGACCAGCTTTTGTTAAGTCATACATACAACCACTGGGCCCATCAGGACTCCCTTAATTTAAAAATAAACAAAGAATAAAATCAACTTATTAAGCACGTATTGGAACTAAGCCTACCAGTTAAATATGAATAGATTTTGGTGCTGGAGAACAGTCTTGAGAACATACCATGGACTGCCAAGAAAACAAATAAGTCTATCTTGGCGAGGGTGAAACCAAGTTTCTCCTTGCAGGCTAGGATTTTTTTTTATTATTAATTTTAATGAACATTTACAGAGATTTTGGATTTCCATTCATTCATTGTTTCACTTTTCTCCCTACCCAGCCCTCCCTCCCCCTCTCCTAGGTCACTCCTCTCTTTGAAAAGCAAAATAAAAATTTCTTCTTTGGTATACAATATCTCATATACTTTTTTAAAAAAAAATTATTATTTTGTCTGAGTGTACCATCAAATCAGATCTGACTGGTACAGGAGGAGATTGTCCCTCCTTCCCTGGTAGAGCATCTGGTGGATTCAAACCGTGCGCCTCTGGGATTGTAGTTGCAGCTCCTTGCCACTAGGCCACCAGAGCTCCCCATTATCTCATATACTTTTGAGTATGTGGCCAGGAGGACCAACCCTTGGAGAAGGACATTATGTTCATGAGGGTAGAGGGACAGCACAGGAGGAGACCTCAGATGAGATGGATTGATACTCTAACTAGGGCAATGGGGGTAGGTATATCAGAGTCAGTAAGACTGGCTCAGGACAGGGCAGGCTTTAGAGCTACTGTACATAGGGTCACTCTAAGTCACAGGCGTCTTGACAGCACATAACAACAACACCAGAGGAAAAGGTTTTTTCATTTTGTTCACAAAGCATATACTATCTATGCTCTGTATGCAATATGAGATTGAAAATGGCTAAAGAACAAAAGTAAACTAGGTAAATGAAAAGATTAAGAAAATGTAGCATGAAATCTTAAGAGTGTTTAAATAAAATTCAAGCCAAAAAGCATTAAATGTGACAAGATACTTTTTAATATTAAAGGACATGATTCATAATAAAGCTAATACATTATTCACAGTGTAAGACAGCCTAAGTATACAAAAAAATAAGAGTGTAGAAGGCCTAACCAATATAATCAATAAGGTAAACATTATGGGTATACTTTGAAATATTACATTGACTAAAGAAAGAGAATATACTTCCTTATCAAATGCACATGGTACATTCCTAATATAGGGTCATTAATTATGTAAAAAAGAAAACCAATAAATTCCATTAAGTTGAAATACTATAATACTCTTTGGTAAAAATGTGCTAAAACTAGAAGTTAACAAAAATCAAACCACAAAAACCCCCTTCCTGTGAAAATGTTTTCCATCATTTATTTCCACAAGTTGTAAGTATGAAAGAAAATAAAAGTTGTAATCATATTCTCCAAAATGCTAATGGAAGCACTACATATTAAAATAAAACAATAGTCAAAGCTAAAGCCATAGGTTTAAAACCTATTATCAATAAACAAAGAAATTCATTACATAACCAATTAGAACGTTAAAGAGTAAAGAAAGTAAGCCAAAAGAAATACAGAAAGAAACAATAGACATAAGAGCAGAAATCAATGAGTAGAAAAATGAAGAAAAAACTATACCAGGTAATAAATTTAAATAAAATCCTGTTATTTTGGAGGAAATGAGCTAAACCAAAAAATGACCACTGTTTTTACGTATTTAGTCAGAACTGACACATAGCTGACCCTCCAGCAAGTTTTCAGAAGCAGTAAATCACTTTGCCCATCTTTCTCCTGAAGAACAGCTGGTGGATTAAAATAGCATGCCTTCTGGTTGGCTACCAGAGCTCTTTAAAAAATAATTAAGACAAAAAAGGAAAAAAA